TTAACTGGGAGAGAGTGTTTTTAAAATAGAAAGGGGGACCATACACTTCATTCCATCACACAGTTGGAGCTGTGTTAGTTGTAGCTCATATCAATAGTCTAAGGAATAAGAAATTTCCAGTTTTTCTTCACTTTTCAAGACTATCCTGCAGAAGGCACCCTTTCCAGCTTGGGAGTAAAGCAAACATTTTGTGTGTACCCTACACCCACTCCAGATTTACAAATGAGCCTATCTTAAGCACAGGGCAGTCCCACTGGCTTCTGTGGCTACTTGCACATATAACAGTTTTCAAAACTGTCCTCTGAGCTAACAAAGCTCAGTTCTGATTCCCCCCCACAGCGATAATTATGGGGATTTCCCCTCTCTGCCCTTAGCCAATTCGCTTTGCTGTTTCTAAATTCTCTCACTAACACAAGTAAGCTGCATGGTAATGAGTCTGGCTTCCCAGAAACATCCCTGTAAAGAGAATGGGTTTAAAGACAGACTCTGAGAGCCTTTTCCATTCTCTGTCCCAGGTAATTCCAAAATACTCCCAGATCTACAGAGATTTATTCCACTTAAAAAAAAAAAAAAAAAAAAAGAAAGGAGAGGGGGGAAGAATGGAGACTGTCAGAGAATGGAAGCCAAATTAATTTCAGAAGAAATTGGTTCATCCTTTACTGGCATCTGCAGAGTTGCGCCAGCTTGCTGCGGAAATGGATTTGGCCTTGTATTTCTGAGAATCCAGCCCTGTTTCAATTCTTCTGAACACTTCCTTCTTTCCTTCTGACTGCACTTCAGTTTTCATCCAAGTATCAGATAGGCCCACGAGGCAGCTGACTTGCACCGAATCTAACATAAACTTCTGCTGACAGGTTCTGCTACCTACATGATGCATGGCCCACCAGTGAACAGAAAGGATAAGGTCTCAGCTTCTCTTCTTGCTATAGCAACAAAGCACCTTGTGATGATAATTTTTTTCCCATTTCATAAGCTGGTTGCCATGGCAAGTTACTTGTGTTGCATTGTCAGATACTAAAAGGAAACAATTTGCGTTCTCTAGAAATCTCAAAATTTAAAAAGTCGATTACATATTGGTTTGCTTTCTGCCATAACACTATTCATCTTCTAAGCTCAGGGAGAGATGAGCAAGAAAAACATCCCAGTATGGGAAAAGTACTTGCAGTGTCTCGAGTCTGGTGTATCTGCAGGAGGAATAAATTTAAAAATCATGAAGAATATGGTGCTGTGGGGAAGCAAAACTCATGGGGATCTCTGCTTTTCTTAGTACGCTCTCAGAGACAATGTTAAGGAGAGCACAGTGATATAATCTTCCTTCCAAAAACTTCAAGAAAGTTTCAGTTACACAGAAAAAGCATGCATCTGGAAAAATGGACTAGCTGAGTGCAGGGAGAGCTCAAAAGCTGTGGAAAGAACCAGGAAGCAATCTGCATAATTAAAAGTAAGTCAGGTGAACTTGTAGATATGGCAAAGCAACAGGAGGCTCAGAACAACAAAAGTAACTGACATCACTACTCTACCCTCTGTGTCTGCTGAGAATTGATACACCCTTCAGTATATAAAAAATACGTGATTTATGTCTGGATGTATTCAAGTATGTATCCTTGCGAAACTAAAAAATTACTGTTACTTACTTTGCTGATGATTTTGATGATCACAAGAAGAACTTTTCATGTTCTTTTGGTTTTTTTTAGGGGGAAAGAAAGAACAGTTCAACTTGGCCATTGCCTGGGTGTTTCTACTAGAAATAACTCTAAAAAAGATTAACATTTCAAAAATGTAAGGGATAGCCTTGATCTATAGCTGATGAGCAAGTTCAGTTGCTAACTAAGCTCTTGGCAGAAGTTTGTATGTCACACAGTGGAGAGCTAAGCTCACGCCTTGTCTATGACTCCCCTCTTGCAGAGGTTAAAGAGGAAATGACAATATCAAGGAGTTATTTTTTGGGTCACAGCACCTGCAAAAATCAGTGTCGTACCTTCCCAGACTGAATTTAGAGTGCTGTTACAAAAAGTCATGACAGTACAAGCATGTCCATGAGTTATGGCCTCCCACCTGCAAGCTACATACAGTTTGGTGAAGACAATCAGGAAAAACTGAAGGCATGGGAATGATGGAACAGCTTTTCAACCCCACTGCAGGTTTTGTTTTGGCAGTATTACTGTGGCAGTAAGGATCTTCGGAGATTCTCTCCATTTCTTTTTTATTGCTCCGCATGCCAGTGGGCCCAGTATTTGACTAGCCTTCTTCTCCCATCATGCAAGGCTTGCAAGAGCTAGTAGCACTGCAGGATTTCTAGAGAGCTGCGCATTTCTCTTTGCCTGCCTTGAGGTTTGCCATAGAACACAGGAGCTGCACTGATGCCTCGTGGGTAGCTGGAGGAGTTTGTTGCCAGTCCAGCTGGAGACACCACGGGATGAGTTAGCAGAGTAGTTAGTAGACTGAACTACCTTCTTGAAGTGGCATTTGCACTGTACTTGCTGTGGCACTGCACGTCCCATGTTTAAAAAAGGAGGGTTCTGTCTTGCAGAGGTGTCAGACAGGCCAGACATTTTCATAGAATTAAAATCAAGTTTAGAGAAAGGAAGGAAGAATCTGTCCAGGCAGAATGACTTTTTACAAACAGAACAGGCTATAACCTCAGCAAGTGTAAATCTGCCCAGCTTTGCCAAAAGCAATGGAGCTATGCTGCTTTGAAACAACTGAGGATCTTGTCCCAATATTTTGCTTTTTTTTCCCAAAAACAGAAAGGGGGAGAAGACATCTTTAAGCTATATCACTCTCTGTGTCCTTGCAAGTTTGTGTCATCACCCCTATGTGATTGTGTGGTTATGACTCACCAATAGGTGATTATGCCTCTGTCTTCCAGCAGTCTGCAAACAAGTAGTCCTCAGGTATCTTATATCCTGATGTGACCTGGCACTGAAGAATGAGCAAGAAAGAGGCAGTTTCAGTCCCATCTTCTGGTGTTTCTTGGTTCCTGCAGGTCACTGAGAAGCCCGAGAAGCATGAAACTGAGGTTCACCCATAGCTGTGTCTATTACACTACCTATTTGGTTCTTGCTCCCTGGTAAGTTCTTCTAGGCCACCTAGGTACTGAAAAATATGAGCCCACTTTCAAGGTGCTTCAAAAAGCAAGATTTCTGCATGCTCCAGGACCCTGCCTGCTCACCAGAAACAGCTAAAACAAGACAAGACAGGTAGCACAGAGAAGCAGTGTGCCGTGTGTACGTGTGCCTGCCTGTGAAGAAACCCATCACCTTTGTGTGTGCTGCTGCTCCTGCTGTTGGCTTGGTCAGGAGAGATGCCGTGTTTCTGCGAGCTGTGGTCCTTGCTTCTGCGGAGAACTGAGAGGTTGTTCAGAACCAGGAGGGCCTGTTAGAAGCAAGCAAAGAGTTTCAAGGTAGGTTAAAGCTTCAGCCTTTTTGTTTGGACCTGTCTGTTTGCGTGCCGGCTTTTAGAAAGTGCTCTGGCGGGTTTGTTTGTGCTGGTGCAACATGCCTGAGACCTGAAAAAACCTGCACGACTCTCTCAACGGGTATCCTTAGAATTTGTTTAATCTACTCTGGCTACAAGCTCTGCAGGGCACGAGCTTTCTTTTTATTATGTGTCAAGCGTAGTATCTAGAACAATGGTTTCTAGATCCATTTTCAGATTACTTTTCTAATGGAAATAATAAATTGTGGCAGTGTGCTTGAAACATATGTCAGAGCGAACAGTGCTTTTCCAGTACCAGGAATGCATACTTTATTCAGCATCATATTCTGCATCAAAGCTTGATCGCTTCTGCATGCTCCTGCGTAACAAGGTGATTATGCAATCCACTATCCACTTTCCAAAGTAATAGGGGAATCACGGTGCCCAATAGTAGAAAACATCTGGTAACACAGGCATACTGTGACGGCATGGGAAGTGCTGCGTTGACAGACCTGAATTCATGGAACGAAGCTTGAGCCCATCAAGGTTTACTAGCTCCGATTTAGCGGTGCTGCTTGTGGGACCCAAATAGGATCAGACAGAGCCTCTCGCCACACTTGGACCTTTGCCTGTAATTGGAGCAATTCTGTTCATGCAGCGTGTATCTCTGCTGCTAAGCCTAACTGGACCGCAGCTTTCTTACACGAAGTCAATTCAGGTGTCCTGTCTTTTGTGGCCTAAATCGCTCCTGAATAATCTGGAGTCGTCTATTCTTCTAGGCATTTCCAGGGGCCAGATAAAAGCACCCTGTGAGCGGGGTTTAGCCGACGGGTTATCAGCTAGGGGCCCTGGCTGCTAACAACCGCTACGTTTCGGCAAGCAGTCTCTGGTCTTCCTCCCCCAAAGTGCGCTGCTCGCCGGGCCTCCGCGGGGAGCCGGGAGAGGCGGCTCAGCCCAGGGGCCTTGCCTGCAGGGCGGGGGCAGGGCGAGGGCTCTCCCTGCCGCGCTACCTGCAGGGCCGTGCCTTTCCGACGGCAGCAGCCCTGTTCCCGCCGCGCGGCGGCTCGCAGGCCCCGGGACAACCGGAGGGTCGAGGTGGTCTCCCACCCCGCCCGCGGGCTAGCGGGAAAGCCGCGGCGCCTCTCGGCCCGCCCCGCGGGT